CTTAACAGCAACCCAGTAGATTGTGGGAAGATTCTATGTGGCATCGTGCAGAGTCACTCGGGTGTTGCCTTGTCGCAAAGGTGTTTGCTAGAATGAACTGGACGGAGTGGAACCACAGAGAAAGTATCCAGAAACTGCCTGTGAACGACATGAACGACTATTGCAGTTGCCAGTTTTATCTTGCAGCAAGACATGTTCGTCATGATGATGATGATGATGATGCTGCTGGGTTGCAGCTTCTAAGCTTCCCAAGTCCAAAAGGCGCGTCATTGGGGTTGGTGCTTGCAAATTGCATGTGGGTGTGGTCGCGCGGTTCTTTCAAGTTGAGGGCTTTGCGGAAGTTGCAGTTCAACCGTTTGGCCTGGAGGATTTTGCGTCAAAGGGGGGTAACTCGAGTAGGACCAGGAGGCCAAAGCATTCGCCCTGCACGGTGCCAGGACTCCCACGCCGCTGCCCCAGCACCGGCTCCCGAAGCTGCCAGTAGCCAAGGTGACAGAGCTGCCATTTTGTCTGTAGAGGCTTGAATAAACCCTAAATCTTATACAACCCCTATAATCCCTTTGAAAGGTACCCCTACTTTTGGGGAACCATAGAATTCCGAAAGGGGCTGAAGGGCACGATGGTCTCTTGTGTTTGGGTTTTGTGTAGTAGGAGCCGTATGACTTGGGGTCAGGCAGACCTTGGAAGGGGACTCCTGAGCGATGACGTGGCAATGAGGGTCGAAGATATTCGGATGTCAGGCCTTTAGGGTTTCGGAGTTTGGAGATCTATTATTACTATTAGTATTACTATTACTATTACTATTGCTATTGCTATTACTATTACTATTACTGTTAGCTTTTATTCGCCTGCTTCAGTTGTGGATGGCAGCTAGCAAGGCCGGGGAGGAAGAGAGGTTTAGGGTTTAGGGTTTAGAGAGAAACCAGGGAGTTGTTTGATGTAGCTGGGGTTCACATGATTGGTATTCCCATCCTTGCAGTCCTGACTGCACATGACATGTGTGCGCTGGGCCATGGGGCATTTTGGGTACCCTAGAAAAACCGCTCTTGTTAGCGCAGTTGATTTAATTGCCTCTTTGTTTGGGAGCTGCAAGGGGTGTAAAAGTTTTTCCCGCAGGGCCTTCAGAAAGCTTGGCTAGTACGGGTGTTGCACTTCTTGGTATTAATAACAGGGTGGAATCTGCAACGAAGACGCTTAGAAAACACGTGTGCCAACATTGTTTAAACATGTTTCTGAACCATAGATCTTCGTTGTGCTATACACTCTTCACATGATTTTCTGTCGGTCATGCGAGAAGAATCCGAAACACACTTGCCACCAAGCATTGGGATCGTGCAGATGATCTTGGAGATGCTTGGAGCAAATTGAAATTTCCATCAATCACAGAGGCCCCAACCACCAAGAGATCCAAGAGCGAATTCATCCCACAAATCTCTAAGCCCTAGACTTCAAATGACTTAAAAAGCTCTGCGATCCCCCCGGCTCAACTTCTTCAATTCAACCTCATTGAACTCTGATTCAATGAGGCAAAAAGCCTCAAGACCCAAGCTCCTAACCGCAGAACCTCCACGCCCAAACCCAAAGCCATCTTAACCCTAAATGCAAAACCCCAAACCCTAATCCCTACTCTCTTAGCCTAGAACCCTAATCCCCAAACCCTAGTCTAGAAACCCTAGGCCCCAAACCCCCAAACCCTAATCCCTGAAGCCTAAACCAAAAAACCCAAGCCCTCACCGCTCCAAATCTGAGCTGAGCCATAGTCTAAACTCCTAGTATCCCCGTTGTAAGCCCGAAAGAAATCCTCGAAATCATCCCATATGTAGCCCTCGTTCAAGGAGTTTAGACCCTAGACCCTAAACCCTCTATAACCCCTTCAAGGAGTTCAGCCCCTAAACCCTAGACCCTACATAAACCCCGTTTAAGAAATTTAGATTATCAACTGCCTTTGGACTAGGCCAGGGCTCCAGTCAGGGTGGCATGGGAGACTACCAGAAGCCATTTGGATGGGTTTACGGTTTGAGGGTTTAGGGTTAAGGGATGAGGTTTGGGGTTCAGGGATGAGGTCTGGGTTAGGGTTGAGGGTTTTGGGATGAGGGCCATTAGGGTTTAGGGTTCATTGTTTTGGGTGTAAAGACTAGGGATTAGGGTCTTGGGTTTGCGTCTAGAGCTTGGTTTGTGGTTCGAAAGCATCGTTAAAACATAGCTAGGGTGTAGCCAGCAGGACCTGATGGTCGTTTTTTCCCGGACTTCCCTCGTGTTTTGTTTTTGCAGACTTTGGGCTTATAGTCGCAAGGCTGGCCTAAGACCTAAACCCACAATCCTCAATCCTCAATCCTAAGCCCGTGTTGTCTTGGGTGTATAGCTCGGCCAGAACTGGGGCGCTGTAGCGGCAGCTTTCATCACCAGCAAGGAAAAATTTCTTGCGCCTTCCTTCATTTCTCGATTCTAAGGCAATTACAGGAGGGGAGTTGCCTTGTACGGACCTTACATAAGCCTCATATACCCCTTATATAACTCTCCATGGACCCTATATACCCCCTATATACCGATTATATAAACTCCCCACGTTGGAAGCTCTCTTCCTGTAGTTGGTCCTAATCGATGGGTGTGTGCGATCTGCGGAGGTCTCATGCTGGCTAGATGCTGTATAGGATGTAGCAGCATATGAGCTATAGTCTAAACTCCTTAAAGGGGGTTATATACGGAATTAGATAGGGGAGTAGTATAGGGGTTATTAAGGGGGGGATACTAGGAGTTCAGACTATGGCACATGTGCCCCTTCATGCTCGTGCGCATTTCCCCGTTGTTTTGAGCTTCTTCTGCAGTGAGGTGGATGCAGGGTTCAGATTTTGTTGGGATGGCTTGGATTCGATTGGTGTGGTGTTCGTGTGTCAGTGAGGCGAAGGGACTCGGTTCTGCGGAAGGGCAGATTCCTAGGAGCCTCGCGATGACAGAAAAGGACAGTGGCTAACTCCATTATTCCTTTGCCATCTTCAAGCCTTGTAGGACACCTTGGTCATGCTGGGTTCAGGGTTCAGACCCGGACTTTGGACCTGAACCCCCAAATTGGCTGATACATTTTTTTTTTATACTCCTTGCGGTGAAGCAGGCCCCGACATGGTCTTCTCAAATCAGTCTTATCTTTAAAAGCTGCAGGGGCCCAATGTGGATGATGAGTGTGCGCTTGAAGACAGTAGGAACCAAAGAAAAGAGCATCCCTGTTGAGAACCTTGTTGTTCCCCATGGCCAAGGTACATGCATGATTACCAGAAGTACATGCAGGGTCAGGGAGGCGACTTGGCGAATAAATTTGAATCTTCTTTGCCAAATCCTGCATGGGAGCATCTTCTGGGTATCTTGAACACCTTCTGTAACGTGTTTCTGTTGCTGTTCTGCTGCCTGCTTAGATTTGAGGCTGTAGGTTTTTTGGTTTCGGGCTGCGATGGCTTGTGTTTGCAGTTTATCATGAGCATGCTGAATATGACAGGGAGCTGCAGTACACCACCACCCCAAGAAAGGCGCTCCCTACCTGAAGTATGAAACAAGTGTTGTGATAAATCCAGCGAGCAGGTGTTGAGTCAGGCGGGCGGCACCTTAACATTGAAACATGACGTCAGTGAGGTGACTACCAGAAGTACATGTCCGGCTTCCAGCAGTACATGCAGGGACAGGGCAGCTGGGGCAGGTAAAGCCCCATTTCAAGGACGTGGGGCTTTCCAAAATTAGGGGTCCCTGTTTGGGATCGCTATGATTATTGTTTTTAGAAATCTTGATTGGGATCTCTTTTGGGGATGTTGGATTCTGGCTTATGATGATTTCCATCATTCCGGAGGCGAGGGTTCCCGAAATCAGGGAAGCATTTTAGGAGGCAATGCCCATGGCTGGGTGGCTGGACAAGGAGTTTTTGAGGACAAAGGGTTCAGGGTTTTAGGGTTT